GGCTGGGGCTCCCGCCGCTGCCGCCCCCGCACCCCGGCGCGGCCGGAGCTGCCGCGCGTTTGTGCCCGAGCTGCCTCACGGAGCGGCCCTGGGAAGCGCTGCGGGCGCTGACCCGGGGCCTGTGACCGGGAGCGGGGCCGAGGCCTGATGCGCTTCAGCCCTTCTTCCTTCCGAGGCCTTTGTCCGAAATTACAGCTTTAATTCGTGCTTGAGGGTGTTTGGCAAGAAGTCAGGGCTGCTAGCGGGATTACATCTTGGGGTAGGAGAAGCAGTGAGAACTACCCAGAATCATCAGAAAATCGCTGAGTTCATCTTATTTTTCCAGCCTTCCTTTTCAAGACCTCTTGTTACAGGTCTTTGTTTTCCAGAAGCCCTTGGCCTTTTTCTTGGTCATGCTTGCACCAGATCCTGAAGAGAATTTCCTTTATAGTGCCAAATGATACCCACTGAAGTTACGGGCAGGTCTGGGTTTCTGGCTGCAGGCCTCTGGGCATCACAGGCAGTGTTCCTCCGGGTTGGAGAGAACTTCCCTGTGCGAAGACCCCCTCGTTGGGTGGGCGTTGCTGTGCTTGGTGCCAGGGGGGTGCGGTGCTTTGTGTTTTGTTGTGCCAGCTCACCTCAAGTTCCATTGCTTTGTCCTCTGTGCAGGGACGACCCACATCGTTATACATACTCTGACTAGACAATGGAAATTTGAAAATCAGATGGCCTTTAGTTCTGGTAGATGCCTTTTGCTACTTGCATTCCACCGAGCTGTGAGACAACAAAAAGCTCCATTTGCATGTGATCAGTAAAGACTCAGTGTTTGGCAGCTGAAGTTTCTCAAAAACACATTTCATCGGCCAGTTCAGGCTCCTGCTACCTCCAGACTTGTGTTACCCACTGGTATTTCTTCTGTGCTTGGGGAGTGCACAGTAGTGGGGAGGAGAACATGTACCTGGCAGCAGAGGGGTAGAGTGGCTGTGAGGGAGCAGAATGGACTAATGTGGGTGAGTTAAGATACTAATGTGGACAAACACAAATGGACTAACAGAGTCTTAATTCTGCTTTCTCCCTGTGAGTTTGCTTTTGTTGCTAAATGGTTTTATAGCTGTGTAGATGTAATTGTATTGATTAATAAATGCATAACAGTTTATGCGTGCACTAAACATACACAGAATTTCAAATGCCAGTTCATATTACAGTTGAAGTTTTCTTTTCCTGGGAAAGGGGTATCCACTTGACATTTCCATTGACTCATTTTGCCAAAACAATATAGCAAGGACATGGGATTGTTAGGGGGCCAAGATAAGACACAAAAGGTGATAATCCTAGTTCCAGCCTTTGAAACCTCATGTGTCTGATAGCACGTTGCAGTGCTGGTTGCAAGGATAAACTTTATCTCACTTCAAGACCTTACGTATATTTTAATCCAATTTTAGATTTAAAATTTTATCAACACGTTAAAATACTAACAAGGAAATCAGATAAACTCCACACAACACATATTGACTGTGGATCATTAGTAGGAGTTTTGAAATTTATCCAGAATCCTCCCTCATTGTGAAAATAATAAAAAATAAGGAATTCACATTGATTCTGGAAATACAATTGGTTTTATGTTAGCATGGTTACACAGCCAGTGCCCATAAAGCACAACAGAGAAATACAAATATGGTTAATGCTGATGAGGCTGCTTTGGGAGTATATCCAGAATAAATTGAAGTAAGAGTGATCAACCGAAATCTATTTTTCCATAGTATAGATAGAGCTGTAGAACTAAAAGCTGACTTTTAACTTATTTTGCTGTTTTTCCAGAATAGTATGACCCATTTCCTAAGCTGACAGTGTGTCTGCCTCTCTGTCTATCTACCAATTATAGTTACAGTCACAGGTGTACTTTGCAGTATAGGATAACTTGTTTTAATCTATTTCTCCCTAATGCGTTTTCATTAGAATAGAAGCCTGCTTGACTTGATTAGAAAAGAACAGGCATTGTGTTTTGTTTAGAAGTGAATTTTTACTCATCCAAGGACCTGTAATGACAGTTAGGCAGGCTTTGTGCCCCTGTTTTGACTGCCAGGACAAACAGAGCAGGGAAGGAGCGTTGCGTCTGGACTCACTGATGTGCCCGCTCCTTCAGACTTGGTGTCAGGGTAACAATATTTGATTGATACGGGGATGGTCTGAGGTTGCACTACTGAGTCAGTTATGAATGGTTTTGTGCCTGGTGTGTTACCAGCTCTTTTAGAAACACTTGATACATTATTCAGTTGGGCACTGTTAATGAGATGTGTTAAATTAACTTACGGGCAGAGATTCGGAGCTAACCGTACTGCTGCAACTGGCATCTGAAAGAGGAATTCCCTCCACCCGTTCTATCATTCCTTCCAGCTGTCTTGCAAAAAGCTTGGTCAGTAGCAAACTGAACTGTGTAGTTCCCTGTGCTGGCAAAGGCTGGAGGCCATTCTTAACTCAGTCTTGGACTGCTCTTGCGTTCTTCCCACCTCTGGTATTTCCCAACATGCTGCAAATACAACTTGGCTGGGAATTTTCAGGCTTTTTTCACTAGGGGAAGAGGAGGTGGGGCCAAACGAATACTTTTCATAGGGAAATAGGCATTTTGGTAATGTCTGTGCTGGGAGGAGTTTTTCAGGTTCAGGCAGCTCCATATGGTTTAAAACCAGAGAGCAAAGCCCTGCACAAGATGAACTAGTAGCTTGCAATGCAGGTGCCTGTGGTTCAAGTCCTTGCCCTTTAATAGCTTAAGGGAATATTAACTGTCAGATCACTCTCTCTGGGTTTTGTTTTACATATATGGTTAGAAGAGAAGAAAAAAATAACCAGTCGATAGGCACTGACTTCAACAAAATTAAGAGCTTGAAATATTTTAAGAAATGCCTCTTGTCTTTGGGATAACAGCCGCCTTCAGATCCACTCCTGTTTACAAGAACTCCTGACATCTGGCACTTCCAAATATAATAATGTAAGCACCTATCTTTAAAAACATTTGTCTTATATGTATGAGACCTTTGTAGTGAAATGATCTTTGAAGCACACAAGTAGGCGGATAGTGTGGCTTGCAGAGATACCAGTTATCAAGGGCACATTTACTGTGAAAGCTCTTTGAGGCTGGCACTGCTGGCTGCTTTACATTTCAGCAGTACTTACCCTGATAAAGGCTCGATTCTGGCTTTGGCCTGAACATTGAAAACATCATTATTATCTTATTAATAACTAATAACACTTACAGATCAGGACTTTATCGAACGATGTTCTGGACAAAGTGTTTTCATTTTACTGGATGAGGATTGATGTCTTAGAGTATAACACCGTACTGAGCACTTGAGTCATCGAGCAGAGCTCTGCTGAGATCACACTTGACACTATTTCCAGCCTTTAAGGCATAAATCAGTATGCATGTGTAATCTTTGTCACCCTTAACCTGACTGAAATGAAAATACTGCAGTGCTTCAGGCTCCCTACAAGTGCAGTGCAAGCAAACAAGGCCCAGAAAAGACAAATGTCAATCATGAGAGAGAAAGAAAAAACCAGACAGAGGCATAAAAAAGTCAGGCCACATCAGAGCCTCGGAGACAGGCATTCC